ATCCCAATCCATAACAATGAGCCTATTCTTCATTTACTCACTCTTTTCTACCATTCTTTTGATTCTGAATATAATTTTTAACTCTTTTGTATGTTTTTATGAGTTTATTTGTTGTAAACCTATTATTTCGTTAAAGTTTTTGTTTAATTTTGATTTACAATTAATTTTTACTATTATTAATGCAATAAAAATGTATTATTTAATAAAATGTATTTACTTTAATATTAGAGTATAGAAGGAACATTACAGCATGAATGCATTTATGTGGTCTGATAACATCTTATGCCATAACTACTGTATATTTCTATAAGTTATTGGTAAATATGATAGAAAATCATTATATCGTTAATCTTTGTAAATTTGCGCAAATTTGACTTTAAATGAGTAATTTTTGTTTAAATATCTTTGAAATGTACAATAGTTTAAAATCCATTTCAGAAATTATATAATATTCACATCTATTTGTTATACAGTATTAAAAAATAATAATAAGTTATTTTATAAAACGATGACCACTTAATCGGAAAGTATTTTATTGTTTGTTATTTAACCAAACAATAAAATCGGAATTGTTATTTAGTCATTATCAAGATAGTCTGATCTGATCCAGTGTTTATTGCATTGAAAAGTGGTGTTCACATGAAGCAATCACCAAAATCTATTGCAATAAACACTATACCACTCGGCCATTGGCAGATTTTAAACTGATAATACATCATATGCATCTACTGGATCAAATCAAACCAAGATGATGGCTAAATTACAATTTTACATAAAATACTTCCCGATTTTATGGTGATTCGCATATTACGGTCGCACTTGTGGGGGTGTATCGGCCTTAAGAACGTTCGCATTTTAATAATTTACGGTTTAAGGCTTCATTTTTATCAAAGTTAATCGTTTGACAACAACGGCTTGATAACACATTTTGAGTAAATATGACTTTTGAATAGAAATATTGATAGTTTAATTTTAAGTATTAAAAAAATATAGTGATATTTTTAAGTGCGAACGTAATATGCGATCACTCCTTATCAAAGTTCCTAATCCATAGTTCGGTACATATTCTTGAAACCATTTCTTCATACAAAACATATTTATATCTTTAATAAATATCTGTATTGTTATGATTACGACACGAAAGTTGAAGTTCAGCCGTCGCTTCCGTCACCTGAAGAACAAAGACGTTAACTAATGAAACAAACAGTTATTACAGCAATATTTGTCAAACCATTTGCATTAATATCTCAACTTTGAGTTTCAAGAGTCGGTTTTCCTCCACTAAAACATCATTAATTGTGTGCAACTCTTGAGTCGTTTCAGTCATCTCTCCGTTCGGTCCGTTTGTTTGAACCCATTCTCCACTTTTAGTGTCGAAATAAATCGATCGTTGATTTAAATCAAGTTTTATTATTTCATTATTAGAGTTGTAATCAAATGATTGATTCAATTCTCTATGGAGTGAAGACAATGGCTTTGATTTACGCAAAGGAGTCTTCTTATGACTGAATCTGTTTGAAAATAAAGGCATTGTTTAACACTTTTTTAGGTATTCACGCAAATTAGTGTACAATTTGTGTTTATTGTGGGCACAACTTTATTCAGATATACAATATGTAATGAATGAATACATGGAAGTTGTAGTCATCGCAACCAAAATCTCCCAAAACAATACAATTCTATATATTATATAACATTTCAATATATTCTCTATTATTCGTTCTTTAATTTTAACTAATACTACAAAATTAGGTCCATTCCCGACTTCCATTCCCGTTCCCTTCACCGCTCGCTTTGACTCACAAATTATTTCCAATTTGATTGTAATAAATGCGTGCATTAAAGCAGTAAACAATTTAACAGTATTTTTAAATAAAAATTCTCTGTAGATAACGCGAACCCCGTTTATAACGAGCATATCCTCTACTTTTTACCTATTTACCCCACTAAGTTTGGCAACAATTTCACTTTTTTCATTACAGTATCTTTAGTTTATAATATAAATTATTGAATTATCAATTAGCATTAGTCCCATAGTTACCATTGTTTATAGAGTTAGCATTAGTCCTATAAACTTAACATTGTTCATAGGATTAACATTACCCATGTATTCTATCCGAACGATTCTATAAATCACATTATTCATAGCTGAATTGTGGTTAAAAATAATAAAATATTTGATATATACGTTAAATATAATACTAATTTCATGTACATATGATAGTATTAAATGTTTTTATTTTCCCGAAAAGAGTGACAATTGCGGTTAAACAAAAAGTCGGAGTGCATTTGGACCATATTAATTGACATCTCATTTAATCTAGTTTAATTTTGTTTAATTTTATAAAACAAATTTCTTTGAATTTGTAAGCATTTTTAAGAACGAGTCACCGGTTTTAGATGCCGTCGCAAAATATTTGCCTCTTCTTTATTGTGATTATTATAAATGTTAATAAATGTTCCCAAAACTAAAACTTTTAAATAGCAATTTATTTATATTATTGAGTTTTATAATAAATTAAAAGATTACTTATTTTTAAAAGTCAGAACACGAATTGATATCTCCCGCGGGGTCTATACCGTCAACCCTAATATATCCCCCTTTTATTTACTACAAAATGTCGAAAAACATTTTCGCAAATTGTTTGTGCTTCTAAAATGAAATTCAGAATAAATTGTTTATTTTAAACTGTGGTTATAATTATAATATTTGTTTTAATTATTGTTTTATTAAACAATTAAATATTGCAGTTGGAGTTATAAACAAATTTAATAAAATAATAGATTTAACAACATTAAAAATATGCTAAGACATGATCTAAATTATGATTATCTAAAAATCTGCCAATAATTTGTTAATTAAATATTCATACGAATAGTTAAATTAGAATAAATAAGAAACCAATTGTGAGATTCAGTAACAATTGTTAGAGACAGCAAAGTGTTTCAATTTGGATGCATTGGTCACAAAAAACATTTATAACAAGTAATGTTTGATTAATTGCATGATTTAATGCTTTATTAAATACAACTTAATATCTCTAATAACATAATTTGCTTATTCTGTGCCCAAAGCGACAAAATCGCAACACTTTGCTGTCTCTAACAATTGTGCAAAAAGTAATTCAATGAAAAGAGATGCGAAACTTTGAGTCAAATCCAAGCGATGAATGGATTTGAGTTTGAATTTGAAGGTTAAGTTCAGTTCACTTTTAAACTATTTTCTCTTTCACTTAAAAACATTTTTTGTCTTAAAATCTTGACATAAGTTAAAAGAAAAAACGTTTTTTCAATCATTATTTGAAAAAATATATTTGAAAAATTGATTTCTGAGAAAATGAGTTCATTTGATTTCATTGATTGTTTGCAATTATATAATTTCGGTCATTATTTAATTTCAATTGATTTATGGATTTATATAATAGTTATAACATTTGTTTTGTTAACTTATTGTTCATTAATTGTATTGACTTTTAATGATAGAGTTGTGGTAAGACTTGAGACCAATAATAAGGTAACGAGTGATTGAAATAATGTCTATTTTGACAGGACTTAAGTCATACAAAAGTGAGCCAAAGTGAGACACAGGACACAGATCTTCCTCCACATTATCCCAACTCTTGGATCCCAGTTCTTGAGTCCAGGAATATAAGAGTTAATGAAATGAAGACATTAACCGTTTTTGGACAAGAATTGGTGGCCTATAGGAGCCAATCGGGTCGAGTGTCTGTCTTAGACGCGTATTGTCCTCATTTGGGGGCAAATATAGGCGTCGGAGGAATGGCTGTCAAAGAATGCGGCGAAGAATGTATTAGATGTCCATTTCATGGCTGGACTTTCCGAGTAACAGATGGTCTTTGCGTAAAAATACCTCAATTGAACAGTTGGTTCCCTTTCTTTGATATATTTTGTTATTACGTTATTATAATAAAACTTTTGTTTTAAAAGTACTTAATTAATGATTTAATGTTGTAATTGAAAAGTGCTTTCAATTAATTAATTGTCGATCTTTTAAATAAGTTGTAATCAAATCAAAACTTTTGTATACAGAGTGTGAAATACCTACGGCTCGGATCAAAGTATGGCAAACGATTGAATTGAATAAAACAATATTTGTTTGGTATCACTCGGACTCTTCTTCTCCTCATTGGGATCCGATTGAAATACAAGAGATTGAAAGAAATGTGTGGAGATATGAGGGAAGGACTGAACATATAATTAACTGTCACTTTCAGGTTAATAACACGTTAATAATGTTTACTGTTATCTCAATTAAATGAATACATTATTTTTTAAACAGGAAATCCCAGAAAATGGTGCCGACGGACAACACATCCAAGAACTCCATACACCGGCTGTGATGTCGGGAAATGTGTTAAATAAAAGCACTTTTTACGACCTGTTGTGCAAAGTATTGAAACACGAGTGGGAATCCAAGTGGTGGCCGTCGGCCACGAGTCCACACATTTCTCAAATGTCACTAAACGTGAAAAACAAACTTTTTGGCTATACTTTACTGGAGATTGAGTTTACAATCCGCCAAATCGGCGCCGCTTTCGTTGTATTACAATATAAAACAGTGGATTTTGGAGGCATTTCGGGTGCATTCATACAATCGATCACTCCTTTGGCACCCAATCGTAATCGGATTGTCCATCAGATCTACTCCGAGGCCACTCTTTGGGGCAAACTTTTGGCTAAATTTCTTCTTTACGGAGAGT